CACTCTGCGGGAATGCGTGACGAGCCACAGTAATTAAATTATTTTAATTCGCGTAAACATATCTTCTTCTGCTGCTTCTTCCTCGTAAAAGAAACAGACCTAAGGGGATTCTAAGTCATATATCGTTCGTGTTATTCCGTGGAAAGAAAAGATATTTTTCCCTTAAAAATATGAAATACAAGTATTATTTTTCCTGTCAATTTGTTGAAACGACGCATCTAAGGCTAATTTGCATACAGAGAATGAAGTCATGTTCATCGTCGACAAGAAAAAAAACTAAGAAAAAGCGATTACCAAGTTTTCTTCACATGTTTTCGAAAGTCCAACATTTAAAGGGTCTAATGACAGTTAGTGATAACTAGAAACGTTAAAGCTGTGGAAATTAGTCGACCAGATGCAGACCGTTACAATTCCCGCTTTGCTGTCAAAATGGCGAATTTTGGAACATTAACGGAACTTTGTACAGCACGCAAAGAAGAGTGCCCACAAATTTTATTACATTAAAAAGTAGACTGGTCTTAGTACTTCTGTTTTATCATAGACTTGAGTCTGGGTCAGGTGCCACTTTTGCGAAATTACTGTTCAGCTCTAGTTATGCAAATTACTTTTCCCGATAAGCAAATTAAAGGTCATTTTCAAAAAATCATATCTCAGCCAACTTTCCACAGAATGCAACCATTAAACCTTGAAACTATTAATCAGAGTTAAAACATTTGTGTGTAAAATAATCAGCTTATTTGGCTTTGTAAGGCAGGTTTGACAGAGCCCTAAAGTTTCCTTAAAATCGCACCACTTCCGACGGCAAACTGGCCAGTTTTAGGCCCGGGGGGGGTACTCCCTAATATGGGCTATATAGGTATGTGCGGCCCCAAAGGGTAGGGTTTTTCAGCCGTTTTGGTCATAAATTGGGTATCGATTTTGGCTATTTTGCCGCCATTTTGGTCATAAATAGGGTAACGATTTTTACACTGTAGTCTTGAATGCACTTTTTTAGAAGAAGCTACTTCCTTATCATGTCCCCCTAACCTAATAAAAGCAGATAAACATTGCCTTTAACATTGGTCTGAACTAGGGAAATAATTATAAGGCAGGTCTGAAACAGGGTATTGATTTAAGGGTCAGGTCATAAATAGGGTATCAAATTTTTGGTTTGGTCATAAATAGGGTAGGGAAAATGGCAGATTTTGGTCATAAATAGGGTAAGGGTTTTGGGAAGCGGGCCGCACACCCCTACCCAATTTTTCTGCGAGTACCCCCCCCGGGGTTTTAGGTGACCTAGAAAATCTTTCTCTAAAATAGAGAAAAAATTGAGTTGGTCCAAATAAATGTGATATTTCTTCATGGCATAGGATAGTTATCTTTCACTGAAAAAATCAGGGCAATCCGTGATAGACCAAAATTTGCCTTATCGGTTCTTACGCGGACAGCCTCTTAATTGAACAAGATCTCCTCAGTCACATCCATTTCTCAATGGTTTCTTTCTCACAGTCTCTATTGTTGCTGTTTCATTTCTGCGTATTCCTTTCACAATTATCTAAGCTTGTATGGAAGCTGGCAGAAGAAATAAGCCTTCAATCGCCATAAGAGCGCTTCCCATCTTTTGGTCCTCCCGAATTAAGTAACGCCAAAAAATCCCGATTTCGCCCAAATCGAAACTAAACGGGAACAATATATCATTGATCTGTAATCCTGAGAAGTTTTAGTGTAGTATCGAACTCGGCCAAGCACGATGCAAACAGATTTTTCAAGGTTCTCTTACTCTCCTCGCATCTTTTGATTTCGTGACATCCTGTCCAAAAATCAAAGTTTGGTGCATGCGCAGTAACGGGATACTGTTCCTTTAATTGTCGCTAACTGTTCTTTATTGTGACAACTAAGCCTAGATTTTTTCCAGTACTTAGTGACAACATACCCGGGGGTAATACCATTTGCAAGCTATATTGGTGTGTAGCACAACGGTATGGGTTTGTTTAGTCGTTTTGGTCTCATGAAAACGGATTTTGTCCATTAGAGTCTCAAAACGGGTACCTTTTTCAATGGAACCACAAGAGTTTGTAAATGTATTTTTGCCTAAGAACTTATGGATCAGTTTAGGTTTCTGAGAAACGCCAACCTACCCCTCCCTTAAGCTAACATTAACACTTAGTTCTCACTTAGGGCAAAATGATGGCTTAGAGGAGGGGTAGGTGGGCAGCTTCCCAGAAACCTAAATTCCCCCAAACTTATTCAGTATCAGATACTACTAAGTGAAGATTAAAAAAAGGCTCAAAATTTGCTTGACTTCTCTTGGACGAGGTAATGGGTTCCCAAACCGAGTATAACGTTTAGAGCCAGCTATGACAATGGGTAGGTAGTTTAAGGGGAGTGTGTGTGTGGGGGGCTTTCTCGAAAGTTTCGGTAACTAGTAGGGCGAATTTTATGCCCTTTTTATTAGATCACCTTTTATTTTTTCTCCCTATTTACCGTCCCTCCTTTATTTGCAGTCTGCATAATAGCCGCTATTTTTTGAGGCACAAAGCGTGCGTAAAGCGCGAGACACGCGCGACGGGTGAAAGCGCTTTCTCGCGCTTCGCGCTCACCTCGTACATATCTTCACTCGCCTAAAAAACATGAAGAAATGACCCCTGTTCTGCAGATTACATTATATTCAGCTTCCCTTTAACTAAACTAAGGCCGAATACTTGTAGGACATAACTATGCAAAACAGTCCGTCATGCTTCATCTGTAGAGACTCTCGATGAAGATTATAGAGTTTTGATGGTAAACGAACGATCAGAACATAAAGCTTATGGCTTTCGGTTTCTTTTTGAAAAGTTTATCAAAGATCCAAAGAGAGTTAACTTAAAAAAGTTACTTCTAAGTGCGCAATAGTTCTTTTGTATTGGCTCTACGTTATTGCTCCAGGTCGAAGCTTCTTTTCACTTAATTTTGCTTCCAGAACGTTCCAATACCAGAGCTTACTTCGGCAGCTTGAATAATTGACTGAAACAGTAAAAAATGGTCACAAAAATGCTATCATTCCTTACCATCCGTTCGACGTTCTTTTAAACAATCTCATAGTCTGAACAATCGACAGGGAAGCTTTCCGCATCATTCAATCCTACCATGTAACTGAACATGCCATTTCTTATACAAAGTAAAGGTTTTTGACCGCGTGTAGAAAAACGGTTGCTCATTGCATTATTTGTCTTACCCTTTGGAACTCCTGACTCAGGCAGCAAATTTCGAGGATACGAAGTGTTTATAAGGTATCATTGAGCTTCTGCTTCAATGACGAAGGGAAACAGCCTGTCAAAAAGAAAGCGGAATGTTTTAAGGCGTGACGTCGGTTCTATTTTCATCATTATACCTTCCAAATACGCGTTACTGACCAAGCGTGAGGTCAATATGACAGGATATTTGGCCAAATTCCCTTTGAGACGAAGTCGAGGCCAATATCCAGTTATCTTGACCGAACAAGCTTGGTCAATAGGATTTATTTTATGGCAAAATTATCGTGGTTTTGATTCACAACGATTTGTCTTGCTGTTATTTAGTGTTTTACGAGTAGGCAGGCTACCAAGACACTGATTTATCTCGTTTTTTTCAATTACCCTTCCCAGCGTCGTTTGCGTCAAAGCTAAACGTTACCATGGTCCATTACGCGATACTATCGCCCACACTCACGTTTTCCGTTCTCCAAACACACTTGAGACGCCCAGGAACGAGGCAGTTTATTTAAGTATATCGAGTACTGACATCTTTAAGACTAACAGAAATCTACTAAGCATGAGGTGTGGAGACACGGTACCCGCACGACCGGTATGGGATCAAATAGCGCGTGTGACATCACGATGCCTCGAACATTTCGGATGGTGCGCCTGTGGCAGCACTTAAAGATAGATCTCTCCCCTATTCCTGTGAAGGAAGTCACCAACTTGTGACTTGAATAGACCTGTTTAGCTTGAATGTTTTGTTTTCAGATCAGGCGATGCCGGAATTTACCTTTTGTGTCGCATAAATTATGCATACATATGCACGTGGTTGCACGCGAACGCGCGCAAGCAGAAAAGGTCTGGAGTGAGGGTGCGGAGAGTGGGACTGGAGAGAGACACACCCCATGGGCGTGTGAAGCCCACGTGCTTAGCACGAAAATATCGACCAGGCCAGCGCTTCGCACCTTGCAAAACCGATTTTAAGAAAAGTACGACTGTTTGCAGTCTAAGAGGTCTATTGACAAAATACAGTGTTTTGTATGAAATTTAATCCCCAGCTCGTTTCATTGGAATGGAACAGTGGAATGCAGAAAGGTCCATGTTATGAACTGTTCACAGTCGCCTACTTACCGAGTATAGCCTGGGGATGAGTATCAAATACACTTAGGGAGTGGGGGACGGTTAAACTCAACGCCTACCCCCTCGGTAGATTTTAAAACCAAGATGGCCTCCCGTAACGGTAGGTACTCGATCTCGACAATCTGACGGGAGAATAGGTTACTGCGAACAGTCTAAAAGGTCTATTGGTAGGAGATCCTCTTCAGTCGTGATCTGTACCGGGATAAGATTTCAGGAACTTCTGCAGTCAAACCCTGCTTTATGGACACCCGCTTAATACGGACACCTCGTTATTACAGACAGTTTGCTTTGTCCCTGGGGAAAGAAAGCCCCTACATTTTCTCTCAATTCAATCCGCTTAATACGGACACCTTATATGCTTCCTCAGTGTCCGTATTAACGGGGTTTGACTGTACTGGCTCAACATAAACGCACAGCGCATGCAACGAGCATTTTTGGTTTGAAAGCGCATGCGTAATAGAACGTTCAAATGACGTCACGGAAGCCATATTGGTGTTCCTAAACAATAAAAGGGCGGCCATGTTGGTGTTCCAAGCAATTCTTGTGGGAGCTGAGCTCTTTTCTTATGTAAGCACTTTCTTTTGTTCCAATGAATTTACATAGATGCTGGCCACGTTAGTGAAAACGCTCTATTGGTAGTAATTAATCAACGCTGATGTTTTTTGACTAAACTAAGAATGGGTTAACACACAACCCAAGGTAAAAAGATCTATTATTAAAGCGACTTAATCGGACGCGCTTTTTCACGGTCTCATCATTTGACAGGCCCGTTCGTTTGCTCTTGAACTTTTGCAAAAGGTCCTTGCTGGTCATCGGCTTTCTTGTGAGGTACCTTCTCACGGCTTCTTCAGTGATTCCCTGAGGGCCTTCCTCACTACCAGTCGGTGTTGGGGTGCTTGTTCTTGAGCCTCCTCCTGCCCCTCCAGCGGAAGGTGCCGGGGATACACGAGGTTTTTTGCTTGCCGGACTTCCCTCTTCGCCTGGGGTACCTTTTTTACTTGCACTTGCTGGGCGCTTCTTTGATTTTGCTACAAAAACCGAAACAATTCAAAAAATCTTTTCAACACGAGGAACATGAAACTGATCGGGAACAAATGGAACAACATCCAAAATGCTAGTTTGTAAAATACTGTGAAAGAACTAGTACCTGACGAAGGTTTTGCTAAATAGATTTCATTTGTACGGTCACTCCATACAATTTCATCTACGTACCCGGGAAATAGTAGGGATATACTTACAGGGAGTCCCTGGTCTGTCCTGACTCAGCTTTGTAGCAGCGGCAGCAATGGTATTAGCAGCGCCGTCTGTAGCAATCGTAGGGGTCGATGAACCGCTATTTGAAAAGGTACTGGAGCCACTCCCCGACTTCTTCTTTTTCTTTTTGTCACCTTTACAAACACAAAATAGATTGAGATCATATACGAGCAAAGCACACTCAAGATAATCAAAATTTGTTCACCAGTTTAGTAATTAAGTGTTTTCGCACCTAAGGCAAATTTCCCGCCTCAACGCTGTGACCGGCCACATGTCAAGCAGCAAAAAGTGAAGCAAGTCGTAGCATTTTCCCGCGCTTGCCACCTCCAAGTCTTTACTCTGTAATTTGATTGGTTCATTTAATTAATTGCCTCTCATGTGATTGGCCAGAGCAATCCCCTTTTGTTGCATTTGGCTTACGATAGCCTCTCTTTGGATAATGGTAATCGCCTCGATTTCTGCTTGGTTAAGTGTCTTACACGAACGGTGATTGGTCAGTTTCGTTAATTCTACATCACTTCGCTGCGTAACTGGCCACACAGGGAAACAAGTCGTGGCACTCTCCCGCGCTATGCGACCGCCGCGTCTTTACTATACTCGTGATTAAGCAAATCGGACTCCTGCTACGCGGTCGTCTGATTTTGTTTATCACTCGTATGATTACAGACCGAATTGGACTCCCCTAGTATTATTACCATTATCAACTGGCTGCCTGGCTCCACTAGACCTCTATGGTTATTCCAGGCAGCCAAAAAATAAATAAATAAGTAGATGAATGAATGAATGTGATGAAGATAATAAATAAATAAATGTGATGAAGATTATAATGAAGTATGACGGAGTTTTACAACCATGATACCCCGCCCAGAAACATGCCTCTCTGTTTTTACTTAATGCTACACATACTAATTACAAAAAATATCTAACGTATTAGTGGCTATTTTCCCCGCAGCTACATGTAGTTTACGCTCAATAAACTAATGTGTGGTCATTGAACCACTGGTGTTGTTATCGAACTGTTGTGTGGTTATTGAACTAACAAAAAAGAAAACTAAGCTGTTTTAGAGAATCAGATCAAGAATGGAGCATGCGCGAGCCGTGTTGGTTAGGGCATAGGGGTGTTACCAAAATTTTTTTTCGGTGACCAGCTGACATTCTAGAAGCTTTGCATGAGTTCATAGTTTTTTTTTATTATTTTGGGATCTAGTGTTAGCCTTTCTACAGCATAACATTATATTTTGTAATCATTTTATAAATAGACTATTTGAAAAAGGTTCCAGAATTTTATTGTGTAAGTTTATAAGTAGATGAGTCCAGAAGAGGTATTAACTAGTTGTCATAAGCGAAGAGAGTTCAACGTTGGTCTTGTATAGTCAAGTGTGACGGAAGCAATGTTTATGGAGTTTAAGGTGCAGTTGCAGAGTTTTATTTGGTGGAAACTAAGTGCATATTTTTTTTTTGCTTTCTGAGAATTAGTGAAACAGGAAACCCAGTATATAGCAGTATAGTTCATATTGTCTATACATTCAAATCCCGATATCTAATATGGACACTGAGGGGTCACAGAAAGTGTTCATATTAAATAACATGGGGGTGAATTTGAAGAAAATGTTAGCGATTTCTTTCCCCAGGGACAAAGCAAACTGTCGGTAATGCTGAGGTGTCCAAATTAGGTGGGTGACTGTAAAAATGACTGTACATAACAAATAAGGGAGGGGGTGGGTGCTAGAACTAACCTGGGGTGTGGGATGTTGCAAAATATCAATTTGTGTACAATTTCTGGATGCATGTGTGCAAAAGACCTGAGGTTAAAACACACACAGACATATTTATCACATTAATAAGACACTCCTTAGGTTTTAGTCAGTTGAATTGGTCAGCACAAGAGAAGAGGGGACTGACTAAACAACCCTGACACAGGTTCTCAACAGAGAAAAAAGCATCTTTCACAGAGCTATGTTAGTCTCCTTCGCAGCTGCTTGGTCTGGAAATCACACGATGCTCCCCACCCCCCCCCCCCCCCCCCCCATTGGGGCAGGAAGCACTGCATGACTCCAGCCTGAGGTGTGCAAAAAAGACGAGGGCTTTGCTGGACTGTGAAGAACAAGTAAACCGAGGAAGAAGCTGAAGAGAGGCAAGAAGAAAAGGTTAATCTCCACCCACTTTCTCCCACTCCTCAGGGACTGCTCACAGTCCGCACTAATTTTAAAACAACAAATATCAAGGAGCAAAGAAAATCATTTTTACACCTTGCCATTCGGGCAAGCTGAAGCTAGCATTTACTAGCCCAGACGTCATTTCAACTAGCCCCAAAACCTTTTTGACTAGCAGAATTGATTTCACAGTTCTTCTGTTATTTGAATTCCTCAAAAAACATAACTTGTCCGTCGCGCAAGTTAAAAACAGAATACACTCGCCCGATAGCAAACTCCACTAGCCCCGGGCTATCCGACACTACTTTCTTTGCACACTGCATATACACTTAAGCCTTGAATTCTCAATCAGTTCGGGCTGTCACAAAGGGCTGGCAGCTACATGGGTATTTCCCTCAGCCTTCACGAGCATATAACCATCCTAGTTTTTTCATTCTTTCATGGTAATGAACAAAAGAAAAAATAGAACCAAAGGTAGTTCATATTCCCAAATAAGCCCTGAATGGAAGATTTGTTTTATCACTTCCCCTCCCCCCAGTCCAATCTTTTGCTTTATGACTCCCCTATTGATTGAACTCTGTACCATTCCCAACTCTCTTATACTTTTACAATCAAGGATAATATGACTGCTGGACATACTAAGCTCTTGCTTGCCTGAATACCATGCCTTCACTGCAGTAGCTATTCCTAGCCTCCCATGTAAACATTCTTAGGGGTTTATCACAGGTTAGTGGGGCAGGAACACGTAATGAACCCCTAAGAATATCTGCGTGGGAGGCTAGCCTGTTTCAGGCTCCAAGACAGTCAGGTCAGCAAAATTGAGAAAGCACGAACACGAAAATAAAACAGAAGGAAACTGGGGTGGGGAAGGGTGACAGAGCCTGTAATCATTTATTTACAAGACTTGTTCTGGTATACCAGCTCCTGGTATACCTTCTGTTTGTTCAGAATTGACAGGTTATATCAACACTTCTCAAGAAGGGTCATTACTGTCACTCAGAAAGATGGCATCCACAACTGGGCATGAGTTAGAGGAATTGGCTTGATAACTTCTGTCTAATGGACAAGTATCTGTGAGATTATAATGGTGCAGTGGCCACCTTACCATGCCAAAGCTCCACCCCAGTCATGACTCAGCAAAGTGCAAGATTTGTAATCAAGTGCCTCAATCTGTAAATAAATTAATAAATTGTATTAATATCTTTTCTGAGCTCACATTATCAATCCTAGATACATTACAGGTATTGATATAAAAAAAATAAAAATTTTCTTTTACCAGCTGCAAGAAAACTCTGATGACCTCCTTTGTAACACAGTATAATATAAAATATTATAGCCCCTATTTCTGGATTGGACAACATGTACTCAAAGCTGTACAGACATTGAAGGAAAAATTTTATTATTCTTATTTTTTTAATTTTTGTTTTGTTTCTTTGTTTTTTTGCATTTGTGATCTTTTTACAAAATCTTCTAGACTATGATGTTTAACTTAGGGAAAGTTCATTTAATATGACAAGGGGGGATGAAGATATTGAGGGGGGGGCCCCGAAAATTTTTAGACACCCGAAGGGGGGGCTCTGAAAAAATTGTTTCGCTAGGAGGGGGGGCTCCGAAAATTTGTATACTTCAAAACCAACACATGACATCATCATACAGATTGGATGGTTTTCGACTCAACTATTTTAATGACCTGTGCAACTCAGCTATATCACGTGGTTTACAGATATAACAAATGTAGTCTCAGTAATTATTACACTCTTGTTCATCCTAAAAATGCTTTAGAAAATTGTATCACAACTGTATCTCAAGTTTGTCATAGTATAAACCATTGAAGACAGTAACGGTAAATATATTTAATACAGTCTAGCGATCTTTTTTCAGGGGAGCAAAGGAATTGAAGGAGGAGGGGGGGGACTCTGAAATTTTTTCGACTACCAAGGAGGGGGCTCCTAAAAAATTGAACCGCTAGCGGGGGGGGCTGCTAAAATTTCAAACTTCGAGTTTCAATATCTTCATCCCCCCCCCCCCTTGTCATATTAAATCAACTTTCCCTTAAAAGTGACCTTTGAATCTACAAAATATTTTTAATTTTATAACAAAGTTTACGAGGTGCATACAGAGGATTAAACATTTTTATATTTTCTTCACTCAATCTGCTGTTTCAGCAATACATGTAAGTGCACTTACAATTTCTTTAATATCATTAACCAATAAATGACGTCTTGTAGTGTTCTCGCCCTTTAGGACTGTCACTTTCACCATAGCCCCTTAAACACAAAATACTGCTGTAAGATTTAGCTTTTTAAAAATTCTTTAATTTTGTTTTTCATGAAATCAAAATAAACTGCTGAGAATGGGATAGAGGATGGGCATATCCAACAGTTTTGAATTAAATTACCATGTGACTGAGCTATAATTTCTGCCAGTCTCAAGGATGACAAAAAATAAGTTAGCTAACTGGACAAAAATCCCACATTTTGTTGTGTAACTTAATTTTATACTCAGGTATGTTTTACAGTTGTAGCAGCTGTGCATAATACAGTTTGGCTCCTTGCAATTTGTATTTAACAAATCATTATTAATATACTTTGTACAGTACTTACCTCAAATCCACAGCAACCATCCTGAAATTATCACTAAAAGCTTTCAGCTGATATCGCCAGGAATACCAAAACTGCAAAGTGATTTTAAAACAGGGTCAGTGGTTTTCAATGCATAATATTTTCTAAGTTACACATTATTATATATTTAACTTCTTTGTATTAATAATAATGGAAACTTTATTTGTATTTTTGAATGTACAATTATAAATCTCACTACGTATAGGCAATTTACAAATGCTGCTTGAGATTGGATTATTAAAAAGAAAAAACAAACAAACAAACACAAAACAAAAAAAAAAAACAAAAACAAAACAAAACAAAAGCCAAAAAAAAAATCAAAATTGCATTAAGTCTGGGCTATCCCAGTTCCTATTTCTACAACAAAAGATGTAATATGTTGCTCTAATGGCTATAATATTTATCATTTCCTTGATTATATAATGTTGCTGCTTTTTGTCAATGCCAATGTCATTCATTATGTCTAAGAACGTGGAGCATTCATCGGAGAAAACGCCAAGGGAACTCACGGAGACATTTACAAATCTCACACATCTGTAATTTCTACTCATTTCATTGATCAAGTTCAGATATTTTTCTTTCTTACGCACCGCATTGTTGTTAAGGTTAGACTCGAAACCAACTGTTAATTCTAGAACATATAGGCATCTAGACTGGATTAGGAAAAGAAGATGTGGATGATAATTTTCACAGTTAATATTGAGGGATTCAGAAAACCATTAACATCTGCATAGAGTGAAGAGTGAACATTAATTACAGGTTGAAGTGACTTGGCAATGAAGTTAAGGATTGAGTCATGTCTCCAGGTAAAGCGATCAAGGTACTGTTGACAACCAGCGACAACATGAAGGAGTGATTCAGGATTAAGGCAAAAGGAGCAATCACTGCAGGACTTTGGGATAATCCCCATCTTGCCATATTCTTACGTGTAGGGATAATAATAATAATAATAATAATAATAATAATGGTTTATTAACAGTATTTCCATGAAAAATGGCACTACATCCGCTAATAAATTACAAAATATACTTACAAGTAGACTGATGGAACTGGATTAAATCTTGAACCTTTATTGCTACTCAAAGTTTCATGTCTCTTGCGAAGCAATCATCAGGCAACTTTTATTTGCATGTTTACCCCAGCTTGTTAGCCCTTACTAACAGGTGGTCTTCTGTGTCTAAAGCACAAATTATAATTACTGTCTCCGGAGCAAAATAATGATTTATTTTGTCATGTCCAGTCTTTTATATCTGAATTGAAGATATTTTAAAATACCTAAATATGTATGTTCCATTTGTTAGCATTCCTTAAATATCTTCTTTGTTTTGCTGCTGCTTTTGACTAATTACTATTTCTATTCTAATTTTTTTTAATGATATTTTGGAGTGAGTCCTCTCAAGGCGTTTTTTGTTTCTCTTAGGGTATGGTAAACTTCATCAATAAAATTTAATGATTAAATAACAAACCCTTATACTTCTAGATCCAGATGGCAGGATGATTTAAACTTTTTAATGAGTTTGGTTTACAACCTTATCTGCTGCAATGATAATGATCATAAAAATAATAAAACAGTAGCAACAAGTGTACATTACTGCAGGGAACCCATGTATACACAGCATAAGTGGTTTGCCTGTGTCTCCTTTAGCAACATAATGGATCCTGATATTTGATGCTGTTCTCAGGAAATGATGTTCACCAAGCTCAGGGTCAAGAAGGCAGGCAGGAGCTATAGTGAAATGAAAACATCATCTCTTTAACAGTCAAACCAGGTCAAGCATTTAACCCCCATGAACATTTCATTAATGAGTAATTATAAAAATAATAATAATAATAATAAACTCTATTAATTTAAGTGTCACGTATTTTAACTATGAAGCTAATTGAGGAACCTATGAAATAAAAAGATATATATGTAAAATAGCAATAAAATCAAATATTTAAAGTTAAAAAGAAAAATAAATAAATAAATAATTTATATACACAAAGCAAGAATATGCAAAGCAGAATCCTTTAGCAGATGTGAAACTTGAGATTCATTGATAAGGCATAGCCTATATGACAGGTGTTTGTGGTCAAACACGCCACATAACAATCACACACGCAGCATGATTTTGCCTTCCTTTCTTCTAGTGAGTAAAACAAGCCATTGGGAGACTTCTCAAAAACAGTCAGTCTAACTCATCAAGCTGACAGGTCTTTTCCTTTATATGGTTCTTTCAATAATAGAAGAAAGAAAGAAAACTGCTTTCTTCTATTCTCCTTTCAAGCTGAAATTGATGCCTTCAGTTTCTAATTCTAACAATGAATTCATTACACTTCACTAACAACATATTCTTAAATGATTACTGCAAGATCGGCCGTGATGTTGATTTCAACCAATCGGATTAAGTATCAAGGCCGTGATTGACATGTTTTGAAAACGGACCTATTAGGATTTTAACATTCATCTGGTGGATGTTTATAACATGAAAATAATGGCCTTCTTGCAGGCCTTTCCCACCCTCCCTCCTCTCAAATTTCTCTCCCGCCCAAACACTGCATTGACCAGGCCTATCTTAAACTGGAGAGTCTACGGTAATGCACATGTGCATTGTGACAGCTTCCAGAATAAAACATACAGGCCAACACTAAATACGAAGAAGACATAAACTGCAAATCCAAGGAATACAGGAATCTGCCTTTAAATTCGCTCATTCATAGCTCTACGTAAGCAAGTTAAGTCTTCTATTTCTAAAGTACTCGTGAGGAACGAACAGGCACCAGGAAACAGGACGTTCTAAAGAGTCTTTGGAGATAGCGAAGCTTAGCTGATCGATCTGTTCATTTGCTGATAAGCAAGCAAAGTTTAAGCTCAATTTAGGATAATCTTTATACTCATACGCTGTGTGTTTTTGTCATCGGTCAGGTGCTATTTGCAGGTATTTCTAGGCTTATATAGGGCGAACAGAGAGATCAGTAATAGAAGGTTTTTTGGAAAAGGCAGAAAAAGGCAAGGAAAAGGCATGTTATATATTTTTAATTAATTATTGTTTAGGTTTGTTCACAAATTAATTTTTGTTTGCCAATTGGTGACGGCTTTGTTAGCGTGGGTATGTAAAAGACCTCATAAAAATACACGAAGGTAAATGTTTGTTTCAGAGCAGGACAGGGCTGTAAATCTTATTCTTACTGGCTGCAACACATATCTGAGGAATAGCAAAGAATATGAATTATGGGGACATGTAAAATAAAACCAAACGTCCAGAGATACTCCTGCGTAAATTTCCCTGCATGCATCCAACTCGCTTCCGATTGGTTTAAAAACAATCAGGTACTGTCAGACTCACACATGCATAATATCGTGAGCCTGTCCCTTTAAAAAGTTCAAATGCTCCCAAGGTTGCCCAGGCGGGGGGTTGGGTGTTGGATGGTGAAGTTTAAAATTGACTGGACCCTTATCCTGCAATAGTAGAAATCCCTGTACAAATACAGAGAATAACATTTCACGGTTACGCATCTCACAACAGTAAAAAAGTATTTCACTTGTGTTATTACTTGTTCGATTTGTTTATTTAGATGGCGTCCTTCATAGCAGTTCTTTGGACGGTCAATGAATCGAGAACAAAGAATGGTATTAAAAATATAAAATAACCATTAACTAACCATCACAGAGAAAAATAATGACATGGGTTTTTATGGCCATTATGAAAACCAGTTTGTAGTCCCCCAAAGTGAGCTTACTAACATAAGCTTAAGCTTTAGCTTAGCTACAGTAACAGTTCGCTTTCTTCTCTGTGTGCCGCTTTAAAAATAGTATGCTCCGGATGGGAAAGCAACTTTGCCAGTTTTCTCATTAATTGATGTAAAGCTAATGTTTCGAAGAGTCCCTGCTGTAGTGAGCACTATTAAACGCAAAAAGATGACTGAATTAACTAAAGATACAAAGCACAACAGACAAGATGAATCGACCAGGCCAAGTTTGCTCCGGTGCAAATTTACCGATCGTTACTTACGTTTTTCTCGTCGCTTTCCTCTTCTCGGTATTTCAAGTTTCCTAATAGCACTCAACAACAGAAAAAAACATACCATAAAGCCATAAAACAAAGCCAAACTGTATACGAACAGAGCCCTAATCACTTGATTCGCCATCACGTACCGACATCGACCAACGTACACCGAGCAGAAATCATGACTTAGGTCACTTAAGGTCGTTCGTTTTTTCAGGTGCTTGTTAGCAGGGGAGGGGCGGGGAAAGCGGAGCGAAAAGACCGAACACTGGAGCCTGATACCCTGCCGAATATCTTTCGTTCAACATTTGTTCTGCTAATAAATTGATGTTTAAAGTGGTGAGGGTACAAGAGCATTTGGGCGTTGGTGTGTGGGGGCACATTTATCCGGGTGAGGACAAAACATGGACCAGGGGTCCATGGACACCCACTTTGGACCGGGTCCATGGACGGGACCACTTTCATGGACCGGGTCCATGGACACTTTTTTTTAATAATGAGAAATGAACAAAAACAGAAATAGTGCAAAAATAAGGTTTAAAAACAACAACAACAACAAGCAATGCTCGATTGATCAGTAATGTTTAATTATGTATGTGCTTATATAGTGTAAAAAAAGGGGGTTCGGTACCTCATGCCAAAATGATGCTTGTTCCAATGAATTGTTTTCTCTGATGGGGAGATTATGCTTCGGACGAAAACCTTTTGACCGAGCAAATGTGAATTTTTGCCGCTTATTTCATGCTGAGAGGTCGTGACACACATATTGATTTTCTACCTCTTTTAAATGTAAAGCTGTTTATTGCGGCTGATTAAAAGGGTTTTAGGTTGTTTAATTTCTCCAAAGTGCATCCTGGATCTGAATAATTCTAAGCCACTTTCTTTTTGTCCATGAATGTCACTTTTTCCTGCAATGTTTTGTCACGCTGGTCCCAGCTCCTTAGCGCTTTTAGCAGGACGATTATAAATTCTCACAGATAGTGATTTACGGATCCAGATCAAGAAGAAGAAGAAGTGGCATGGATTGTAGCTTAAACTGAAGCTACATCAACTATGGAGAATTGCGATGTGACTCAGTCATGATTGCTCTAAAAGCAATGAATTCTTAACTCCAGCTTGTTTTTCTAAGGGTGATGGGAGTCTTTGTACCGGAGCGTGTAATTCCTCCCTTGGTGAAAACTTTTGAATTAACTTAATTTAACAGTCTTGCGACTGCACATATGCAACCAGAGTGTACGTCATGTAAGCACAACTAAATATTTGTGATCAATCGTGAGCATTGGTCGACAGCGTCTCGTCAAATCTTTTTTTTTTGGCACTATTTCTGTTTTTGAGTGTCCATTGACCTGGTGCAAAACCTTCTTATAAAAATAAAAAAACTGTCCATGGATCTGGTCCATGAAAGTGGTCCATGGACCCGTTCCAAAGAAGGGGTCCATGGACCCCTGGTCCATGTTTTGTCCGGATGGCAAAAAGCCTGGAGGTACGTAAAAGTTTTCACTTTTGTGTTTTTATCCCGATGGAGGTCTTTAAGAACCAAGAAGATTGCTCCAATTATCTTGCACTCAAAGACCATTCTAAGAAACTAAAAATACCGGGAAGAAATATTCTTCAAACTGTGTTTTAAGAAGAGAGCCATTGTGACCCCTGGGGAGGGGGATACTCCGTATATAATGTCCCTATACCGGGCCAGAGGCTCCGCCCTAAAGGGCTACTACTTCAAGTATATGAAAAAGTGCAGGGATTTCACTAGTTGAAGTATATGAAAGGGTATAGAAATCTGTCATTTTGATCTGTGAAAAGGCTCAAAAGGACTAAAAGATAAAGTTTATGGCGTTAAGGAGTCCAAAAAAGTTCTGAGTTTGCAGTGATTGATTCCTTTTAAAAGACATTGCATTCACAGCAGTTAAAAAGGATGAAAAGTTCTAATAAACTTGGTAAAAGAAAGAGGTACCAGTTGTCAATACAAGGTATATGAAAAGGGAACCTTTTTCGTGAAAAATGGTTTATAAAAGGGCAAGGGGTTGGAACTCGGGGCGGAGCCTCCCGGTAGAAAACTTGTTGAATACTACCCCCTCCCCCGGTGGGATTATGCCAGCGTTTTGGAAACTCTGTTGAATTTTAACCGGTGGAGAATTCTTATGAGTTAATTTTTTTTCTTTCCAAACAACACTGTGGAGAGGCCTGGGGTAGATGTTATTTAGGGATTCTAGGTTTGTCCACTGACAGGTCCCTGACAGGTTTTTTTCGTTTTTCAATATAGCGACGAGAAAACGGGAGCCGAATGGCAGGGCTCGAGTGGAAAAGGAGGCAGGCGTTCCATTTCCAGAACAGAAAAGTATTTTTTTATCACAGGGCATCTAATGACAGACGTGTACTTTCTCAGTCCTTAACTATCTTATGTTCAGTCGCGGGTATAAGTCATTCCCGGGGGAGGTACTTCCACATAAGAGGCTAATGGGGATGCGCCGCTGGATGGGGTCGCATTTTCACGTCTGGATTGACTATAACGGGGTCGCATTTTCAATGGAGTTACTAGAATGGGGTCGCACATTTTCGGACTTTTTGAGTAAAAAAAGTTCTTCACATTTACGGTTAGCAAACGTATCAGAATGTTTGTACTGTAGGTGAAAAGTGAAGTATTCTTCATTCATTATAAAGTACTGTAGATACATAAATAGAAAGTAAAGGTGATGTTACACGGGACGATTCGCAACGATGATTTTTAGCGCAACACAGCATTGCAATGTTGGAACAATGTTGCAACCATTCAAAATAATATCGCAACAATGTTGTAATGTTGTGTTGCGCTTGAAATCGTCGTTGCGAATCGTTCCGTGTAACATCGCCTTTACTATGGTGGGATCCAGAAAATTACATTTGCCCAAAAGTGACTGAGATGGGGTCTATTATTGGCCACCGTTATTATTGGCCACTGCCATTTTTTCCGACTCAACTGGCCGCCCCTGTGTATCCGAGGATAGTCTCCAGTTGGAGCCAAAATAGTGTCCCCAATTAGTACTTTCGCGCTAAATGCGTTGACACTCAAATAAAATGCATTTTTTTTCTTGCTGATCATGAAAGTTATGAACGCACTTACTAAATACTAAACCCGCGAGGCTCTAACTTAAACCAAAACAGGAACTCTGATGTTGGTAACAACCATAGTCAGCTATAACCCAAAAAACATGCTCACTTCAAGGACTGACACTCAAATTTTATAAATGACACTATTATGTACAAAAAACCCTTATAAAGTAATAAAATTCAAAAACCTGTCTATACCATCACGGAATTACCCTTGATAACAAACCTGATTATAACGAGACTCTTGCTAGGCACGAGTGAATCTTCAAGTGCAAACATAAAATCAGCTAAGTAAATACCACATGACAAAAATCTTCATAACAACCTAGAAAATTCTTCACAACATTATAGTGGACAGTCTCTTGCGGACCTATAAGACCTCATGTTGAAAATGGTGTGGTCTTAAGTTTACAATATTATTAGTAAATCTATTAAGCAAATGGAGTTTTAAATGAACAACTTCAACAACATACTAACAAAAACTAAAAGCTTCAGAACATTACAAGGGGGTATAGAAAATTCAGAAAGTGGGGGGGGGATGATCTGCTGGACACTTGCAAGCTATAAATTACTGAGATTTCTGCAAGAAAAAATTGCAAAATTTCACAGAAAAAAGGACGGCGCGATTTCCTCAGACCACCCCTAAATCAACCCATGCATTATTTACATTGAAACATTATCCTTTTCTATCATTTACGTGCTGTTAAAAATCTAGTTTGGCAATTCACAGGAAAGGTTTGACAATTTGACGTATCCAGCAATTGTCAACGTGGAACGGAAACCTTTTTCTGTTTGTTAATCATATCCCGGTAATTACTATAAAGTGGATTTTGCAAGTGCTACCTTAAAAGTATTCTTACTAAATGATTAAAAGCAAGTCTTTGGTTGCTTATCTTCGAATCCAGAAATGATCAGCATGCGGATCTGAGCTCTATTATCTCAGCGACAGATAAAGATCCCCTTTGATTGCCTTCTGCTCTTAAAGTATCTTCCTCAAAATAGCAACAAGCTTTTCCATGGTCGCATTAGTAGACAGTCCTGTTCGTTTGCTCTTGAAGGTTTTTGAAAAAGGACCTCACCGGTCATGGGCTTACTTGTGAGGTACTTTCTTACTTCCCTGAGGACTCTTTTCATTACTGGTTAGAACTGGGGTACTTGTTCCTGAACCTTCTCCCAACCCACCCGAGAAAGGTGCCGGGGATACACGAGGTCTTTTGCTTTCCGGAATATTCTCTTCGCTGAAAAGTCCTCCTTTATCGGCCCCTGCTGGACGCTTCTTAGCTTTTGCTGAAAAAGAAAAGAAACAGTTCATTCAAAAATTGCTTACACACCTGATAAGGACCAAATACAACAAAATCCGAAATAGTAAACGCTCTTGCTGAATAGGCTTTATTAAATAAATGATTACTCCATAAAATTTCATCCACAGACTGCGGAAAATAGATATTTCACCCCCGGTTGGTGGGCCTGTATTCACAGGGAGTCTCTGACCGGTCACTTGCATAGCATGGATAATCCAACGCAGCTATTATACTCTCAGCTCTGTTTGAGAATGCGTAATCAAGGGACCCCTAGGTAAAGGTTCAAAGATGTTGCTAAGAGAAATATGAAAAGGAGAGACATCAGTTTCGACCGTTGTCAGGTGAGTGCTAACGAGAGATCAAACTATGATGGACCCTATAGTCTTAACTTCATCAGTCTTAGTAGCATCGGCTGATGATGATGATTTGCCACAGCAGTGTTCTATGCATGGATTTCACTTACGATGCTCTACATCTTAAAGTCTTAACAAGTTGCCATCATTTCTAACCTTGTAAAAACAATGTTGACGTTCTCTTCATTTCGTTCTGGTCCGGACGAGGACGAGGGCAACGACGACGATAACGAGGATGAGGACGAGGGTGGGGGGTGAGGACGATCCGCGTCCTCGTCCTCATCCTCGTCGTCGACGGCGGCGGCGGCCTCGTCCTCATGCTCGTGCAAGGACTCCTTTCCTTTATCTCGTTCCAACATGTCTTTCAGCCCTTGTCTTTCTTGTGTTAATTCATCCTCATCTTCACTTGATGTCTCTTCTGCGTGACGGTCATCTTCAAGTTTCAAAGTTGTTACATCTTTTGGTATACGAAAACATAGTGAGAACCGTTTCAGTAATACGATAGTGCTATTGTTGTTTCCGTATAATTTTAGATGGAAAATAAATGCTTCCTTTAAATGACCTATGTTACCTTTTTCCTTTTACTTAAAGAGTAAGGCCAGGAATTTCTCTAATGTTCTCGATAGGACAACAAGATAATCGATTAAAAACGTCTCCTCCTGCTAACTTGTAATCAGGGACTTCTGAGCGACAATTTACCTTTCTTAAAAAGAAATGAGCGGTGTTGAACTCTATCTGTAGTTTGTTTGAGTAAGCAACCCCAAATCGGAAATTGTGTTTGCCTTAACATTTCTGTTTCGATGCAGCTGACTTTTGACCTAGGGCACTTTTCTTTGAGAAAATCCAAACCCGGATTTTGCCTTTCTTTACTTAAATTAAAAATACACTAAATCCGCATAATGATTATATTTTATAGATTCACAATTAGTGAGTTTGTTTGGGCATGGGTCCTAAAAAAATACATCTGTCGAGCATTCTTCGCTCTTGCAGGCGTTTCACACTGTCAAATATTTTTAGAACGTTGAAGAATCCATCTCCCAGCTTTTGCTCACTTTCGTTTTGTCCTGTCAAGTCCAAAGACTGTGAGATTGTGCAACAATTAAACCTTAACGGATTTTTTCTAAAGGAACGCGCCCTTGATTAGAATCATTAAAAGTTAGCAGGAGGTTACACTTAACAATCATTTTTGCTTTACCGTCCTTACAACTGCCTTTATCATCATCCTCATCGTCATCATCTTCTTTCTTGGATTGTAATAAATGCTTTTCATCTTCATGAGTAATCTGCAAGGACCAATAGGGTTTTCATTAGAAGAAACTTGAAGATATGGAAGGAAGGAATAGAGTGTAAACAGAAACTGTTACAGTCAAACCTGAATTGAGAGATGTCTTACCAACGTCCCGAATATCGATTCCATAATTAATATATGTACAACGTTTTTGAGTTTATCAAATTAAAATCATTTATATAGATTATATGAATTTCATATATTGGAACTGCGGAAGAAAAAATGCAAAGAAGATCCTCCCAGTTTAAGACGCAACTTATGCTGCTGTGAAAAAAAAAAAAAATGAAAAATTCAGCCTTTTAAATTTCACAACACCAACACGATAAACCTTAAAGACTGCGTAAAATCTTTCTAGAAGAAATATAATTTCCACAATATAGTTTTTTGCGTCTGTTAGCAGTCTTTCATGTACCTTATTTGGTGTTTTGTTGAGCCAGTGCTTGTCTGCACTAATGGCCAGAGCATGTTGCTGATACTCCTTGGCTTGCTCGAGGTCACCTAAATCCTGGTAAATCGAAGCTAAGTTATGGTAGCTTGTTGCAACGTTAACATGTTCCGGGCCGAGCTTGTCCAGTTGGATGTCTAGAGCACGTTGCTGATACTCCTTGGCTTGCTCAAAGTCACCTAAATCCTGGTAAATCGAAGCTAAGTTATTATAGCTTGTTGCAACATTAACATGTTCCGGGCCGAGCTTGTCCAGTTCAATGTCTAGAGCACGTTGCTGATACTCGTTGGCTTGCTCGAAGTCACCTAAATCCTGGTAAATCAAAGCTAAGTTACTGTAGCTTGTTGCAACATTAACATGTTCCGGGCCGAGCTTGTCCAGTTCAATGTCTAAAGCACGTTGCTGATACTCCTTGGCTTGCTCAAAGTCACCTAAATCCCGGTAAATCAAAGCCAAGTTACTGTAGCTTGTTGCAACATTAACATGTTCCGGGCCGAGCTCGTCCAGTTGGATGTCTAGAGCAAGTTGCTGATTCTCCTTAGCTTGCTCAAAGTCACCTAAATCCTGGTAAATCAAAGCTAAGTTACTGCAGCTTGTTGCAACATCAACATGTTCCGGGCCGAGCTTGTCCAGTTGGATGTCTAGAGCAAGTTGCTGATTCTCCTTAGCTTGCTCAAAGTCACCTAAATCCTGGTAAATTGAAGCTAAGTTATTATAGCTTGTTGCAACATTAACATGTTCCGGGCCGAGCTTGTCCAGTTCAATGTCTAGGGCACGTTGCTGATACTCCTTGGCTTGCTCGAAGTCACCTAAATGCTGGTAAATCAAAGCTAAGTTACTGTAGCTTGTTGCAACATCAACATGCTCTGGGCCGAGCTCTTGAAGCTTAAAAGTGAGTGAATATTCAAAATATGTTTTTGCTCCTTCGAATTCACAGTGCATTTGACAAATATTTCCAAGGTTTTTGCATTTTTCGGAAATCTCCCTATCATGAACTTGAAAGAAATTATCTCGAAAAAACACTTTGTCAGTTACTATAGTTAACGCTTTCAAATGTGGAGCGATGTGTCTGGTGTTCAGTCGCTCATTCTCTGGTGGAGTTGCGACGATAAATTCGTTAAATGATGTAATGACCCCACTAACGACCTCATCGGTTTGGCTTTCTGCATACTCTCTTGCTACAGTTTTTATAGCATCATGCACTGCCTGGTGAAGTCGAATAAAACAGCCACCCTCGTCATCTCGAAGCAGCAGAAGTGAGCTTTTTTTTAATCTCATGCGAATTAGTTCCTTGTCCGCTTCATCAAACTCTTCATGTGCGTTCATGATGTAACTAACTGCTATGTCGACGTTCAACGGGCGTGGATCGCAGAGGGCAAGAAAAGTGAAAAGGTGTTTTTGAACTTCGTCGGATCTCATCAGTGTTTCGACGGCTAACGTTATTGCTTTGGTCATTGAATTTGGGTAAATTGGATTGGTGTCAACAAGTGCATCCTCCGTTTTCTGTCTTTTGCCTTTTTCTAAGATCTTTAGGTATTCCTCCCACCCAAAATGCGTTGATGCTTTGTCCTGACGAATCTGTTTAACAAAGACGGCAGCGCCTGCTAAAGCAAGAGGTTGGTAATCCAGTCTTTGTGCTACTGTTCCTACCAGCTCGCTATCTGGGATACCAGAAAGCTTGGACAATAATGAACGGGCATCATCGGGCTCCATACCCTTACTTGCCGAGATGTGCTTAACAAAAGAGCTTTCTGAGGGAATTGATGTTGTGTCCTGGGTCGTAATCAGCAACTGGCCCCTTGCCCAAGCCTCGTTTTCAAACTGTGGTAAATGGACATGCACTGATGACATATTAGTGACATTGTCAACCACCAGTAGCCACGACGTGTAACAGGTAATTTTTACAGCGACAAGCATCTTAAGACTAGTGATCTTTTCGTCCATGGTCGAGTCCCTAGAGCTGAGGGTTTCCATAACTGAATAGACTGGGCACTTTAAGTGGCGAGCAAATGAGACATACGACTCCAGAAGTGAATCTCGACTTGCAGCATTTAAGGTCATTACAAATGAAGACCCACCTGGCATTTCTTTCAGGTCGTAAAAGAATCTCTCTGCTACTAGGCCAGCTAGCTGTGATTTGCCGCTTCCAGGATTCCCTGAGATGTATAGATAGCTCAACCCGTTGTCACTGGACTCATTAAGTTCCCTCAGCTGTTGGACTATTTTGGCTACTTCACTTTCACGACCACCGATTTCATGCGAAGGTTTAGGAGGGAGAACACAAAATGAAGGTGCTTCTTTTTGGAGCTGATCTTCAAGGACCTGGCGCTGACTCTCTTTTTCTTGAACTTCTTGTTTCAGATTATCAACTTCTTTGAGGACCTTTGTTAAATCTTTTGTTGGAAATGTTTTCTGACATTTTAGGTCTTGAATTTTTACAGTGGGAAGACTAAGCGCTTGAAACGCAACATCAATTTTGCTAATAGCATTCTGAAAATCTATCTCAGAGAGACTACCTTGTGGCATGTGAGCGAATTCTTCATTCCTGAAATTTCGTAGATCATCTACATTTTTTCTGACTATTACGCTAAGACCTGGCCCGACGCAATCAGAGAAAAGGATGGCGTAGAATAGCATTGTACAATCCCATTCCTCACTGTTTCCGTTTTTCATAGTGGCCAAAAGACGAGCGTTTCTTTTTTGATTTCGAGGAGACTCTCCGTTATAAAAGTCCCTTCCATTACGAGGCTCGTCTTTCCATTCTCCTTTTGTTGTTTTGTACAGTTTGTCCCATTCTTGTTTAAAGACTTCTCTCAGACCCTCCGCTAGTATATAAGTAGTTACACAACAAATTCTGTAATAGTTCAGCTGTTCATCGGTATATTCGTTTAAAGAGGCCATCAGTATTTCGATGCACCTCTGATGCTTGCAATTGGAACCTTTTAAGGAAAATTAATCCTGCAATTAGCAAATTAGTTCAGAGGGGGAAAAATTATCAGTGATGTCAAGAGCCATACTCTTGGTGATGTAGATAACACGGTCTATGAAGTAAAAACATTGACTGCCCAACACAAACATGTTAAAGCATGACCAAGACCCAAATTTACTAGTATATCAGTAGTAAGATAACAAATTCTGTAATAGTTTAGCTGTTCATCGGTATATTCTTTTGAAGATGCCATACTTGATGTACGTCTGATGCTTCAATCTTTGGGGAAAGACAGATTATCTCTGCAATTAGTGACAACGTACCCGTTCATCTTTTATCTGTATTCATTTTTCTGTTATAGCCCTCGTTGAAAGAGCGAGGCAGTTTGTCTAGTTATATCGAGTACTGAAAGCTTTAAGACTAACAGAAATGTCCTAAGCATATCTTCGCTCGCCTAAAAAACGTTAAAAAATGACGCCTGTTCTGCCACAGGTCTCCCAAGCTCGCGCCCTGAACAACGTTATCCTACTTAGCTAATTAACTAGGAGTAATCGGAGCTTAGGAGGGTATGTTCGATATGTTTGTTAGGCGTACAGGCGGCTAACATTTGAGGGGGAAGATTGGATGGTTACGTATGATTATGGCATATTTTGAACGTAAGGGTTGCGTACAACGAAAACTCTATTTAAACTGTGTATCATTATAAGAGGATTTTGAAAAGATATCGTATGGTTTGGTGTCAAATGCTTGTAATCGGAGGAGACAGTGGTCAGAGTGCTTCGGCCGTGTAAATAGAACATTTTAACTTTTGTTTTACTGGCGCGATTACAGGGCGCAGTTGTTCAAAGGCCGATTAGCGCTTAACCAGGATACTTTTTCTTTCTCCAAAAACATTTCTTCGGAAAATTTTCTCTGTTATTATTAAGAGCATCCAATCATCAACTTGTTGACAAAATGAATTAAACTGAATTTACTTTTTTAAAAGCTTTCACATTTGAATTCAAATTTCCCACCAACCCTGTCTCTATTTCTCTATTCAACGTTTTATAATTTTCTTGCTGTATGAATAATTAATTAGCATAGATGGTTAGTGTTGTTTTCGGGTTCTTGGTAGTCTAAGAGGCCTGAAATGCAGTCAACACACAAATAAACATAACAAAATACTAAAAGGAAAAATTTAATGTATGTCTCGCTCAATTATGGAGAAATAGGATAATTCTCATACAACGTCTTATAACTATTGTTGCGTTCGAGGTACGAGAACGCAACCCCTAATTTGTGTTGGGTGTTCTGTGCATTATTGGGTGACCTGTGCAATTAATAAGGGAGGGTTTTTTGAGATTGCATTTTCGTTCGTCGTCGTCGACACACATTTGCCTCGCTTTGAGGCGCTTGCTTAAGTTTTGCCTCACTTTGACGCGCTAACTCATGTGGTGATTCTTGTGTCCTCGGCGTTCATCTTTCAAAGGTTTGCTAAGGTCTGGTCTTCTTCGTAAAGCGTTCATCTTTTAAAAAGTTTGCTGAATCTTCGTAAAGCGTACATCGATCTGTGTTTGCTGAATCTTCCAAAGCGTTCATCTTTCAAAAGTTTGCTGTTAAATTTTACAGCATGGTTCGTCACTGTCTTTGGAAAATGTGTGTGATTCCTGGTGCATGCATCAAACCGGGTTTAGTTCGGCGGCCGTTATGCCACAAAGTAAATTTACCGAGTTGTGTAGCTCGGCGGCCGTTTTGTCACAAAGTAAATTTACGAGTTGTGTAGCTCGGCAGCCGTTGTGTCACAAAGTAAATCTACCGAGATGTGAAGCTCGGCGGCGCCATTTGACCATGACTTGTGATATTTTCGGCACCGGACAAACGAACACAAACTCTATGTTATTTATTAGGAAAAACATATAAATAAGCCCACAGTAGCGCCACTCTCGAGTCACTGAAATCAACACGCTCGACCAAATTACTGGAAAAGTTATTGACGTGAGTCGCACACACGTTCCATTGAAGGCTTTGATAGCGTTAGTGCGGAGTTTGAATTCAGATGTGAAAGCTTTTAAACCAGTAAATTCAATGTAATTTATTTTGTCGACAAGTTGATGATTGGATGCTGTTAAAAATAACAGAGAAAATTATCCGAGGAAATGTTTTTGACGAAAGAAAAAGAATTAATCCCGGGTTAAGAACTAATAGGCCTTTGAGAAACTGCGCCCTGTAACTCGCGCCAGTAAAACAAAATGTTTCATTTACACCTCCGACGCTGGCCAATGTCTCCTCCGATTAAAAGCACTTGACACCGAAGCATACGATATCTTTTGAAAACGTTCTTAAAATGATACACAGTTTAAATAGAGGTTTCGCTGTACGCAACCCTTACGTTCAAAATATGCCATAATGATATTTATCTACATCGCAATCACCCTTCCGCCTCAACAAACATATCGAACGCACTCTCCTAAGCTCCGATTACTCCTAGTCATATGAATAATTAATTAGCTAAGTACTCCAGGATAATGTTGTTCTGGGCTCTCATAGTGAGCTTGCGCTTCCTGTGGTTCTGCCGGCTACTTTATATTCAGTTCCCCTTTCCAATTCAATAGGATTTACTTTACAGTACAGATATTTTAACTAAACTAAGGCCGAATACTTGTAGGACATAAATATGCAAAACAGTCCGTCATGCTTCATCTGTAGAGACGCTCGATGAAGATTTTAGAGTTTCGATGGGAAGCGAACGATCAGAACCGGTAAAAAAAAAGCTTATGGCTTTTGGTTTCTTGAAAAATAATGAAAAGTTTTACAAAGATCTAAAGAGAGTTAACGTCAAAAAAAGTTACTTCTAAGTGCGCAGTAGTTCTTTTGCACTGGCTCTACGTTATGGCCGCAGGTCGAAGTTTATTTTCACTTCATTTTGCTTCTAGACAGCTTCAAAACCAGAGCTTACTTCGGCAGCTTGAATAAAGGACCGACACAGTCAAGAATGGTCACAAAAAAGCTATCATTCCTTACCATTTGCTGCGAAAGTCTTCGTTAGACGTTCTTTTGAACAGTTTCATGATTTGAATAATCGACAAAGAAGCTTTCCGCATCATTCAATTCCTACCATGTAACTGAACATGCCATTTTTGTACAAATTAAAGGGTTTTTGACCGCATGTAGAAACACGGCTGGTTATCGCATTTTCTTACCTTTTGGAACTCCTGACTCAGGCAGCAAATTTTAAAGATACCAAGTATTTATAAGGAATTATTGAGCTTCCGCTGGAATGACAAAGGGAAACAGGCTGTCAAAACGAAAGCGAAATGTTTGAAGGCGTGACAACTATTTTTATTTTCATCATTATTCCTTTCAAATATGCATTACTGACCAAGCGTGAGGTCAATATTATTGGATATATGGCCAAATTCCTTTTTTTTTTTTTTTTTCATTTTGTTAGACGTTCTTAAAGTCCTTTATTTTTCCCTGGTTGGTAATGCCACGAGACTTCTTCGTTCACTCGCTGCGCGACCTCATGCATTGAAACTCGCTTCGTTCACTTTTAAGAACTTATGAGAGTGGACTTTTAGCAAGTCTAACTTTTTGTTTACCGAGACGAAGTCAGCCAATGAAAAAAAGAACGACGCCAATATCCAGCTATCTTGATCCCCGGGTCTTGACCGAACAAGCTTGGTCAATTAAGTATTTATTTCATTGCCAAATTATCGTGGTTTTGATTCACAGCGGTTATTCTTGCTGTTATTTAGTATTTTACGAGTAGGCAGGCTACCAAGAGACTGATTTATATCATTTTCTCGCTTACCCTTCCCAGCGTCCTTTGCGTCAACGCTAAACTTTCCCATGTTCTTTCTTTTTTGTTCTGCTCGCAACTCCACGAGCAACTAACTGTTAAAGCAACTGACGAAGGAAATTATTTTAGATTTCCGAAACCGGTCTTGCTATTTAAAACAGTTCTTAAATTAACCGCCACCTGGCAGGCTCAGTTTGGAGAGCGCCGGTCTGCTGAGCGGGAGGTCACCCCTACCAGACCAACACTCAGGGTCTTTAAATAACTGAGAAGAAAGTGGTGCCTTTGTAATGACATCTGCAAACGGTTAGACTTTCTAGTCTTCTCGGATAAGGAAGAAAAACCGTAGGTCCCGTCTCACAGCACTTAACATATCTGGTTCTTGTGGGACGTAAAAGAACCCACACCACTGTTCGAAAAGAGTAGGGGACGTAGACTTCGGTGTTGGGGTCAACCTACTCACATCACATCATTCACATCATGGTTTGGGTGGGTACAGTAAGATCATAAATGGGCTGAGAGCGGCTGCCAGTGGCGCCTTTGTATGCTTACGTCCGAACTTACTGTTCACATGTTAAAATATATTGTAGGAGGGCACGTCTGTTGTTCCCTCATACACCACTCTTCATTCTTTCACTCATTCATTCATGGTCCACCGCACGATACTATCGCCCGCAGTCACGTTTTCCGTTCTCCAAACACACTTGAGACGCCTAGGAACGAGGCCGTTTATCTAATTATATCCAGCACTGACATCTTTAAGACTAACAGAAATCTAGTAAGCATATCTTCGCTCGCCTAAAAAACGTGAAAAAATGACGCCTGTCCTGTACGCTTCTTTATATTCAGTTTCCCTTTCCAATTCAATAGGATTTACTTTACACTAGAAATATTTTAACTAAACTAAGGCCTATCCATTTCAGAGGCGCTTGCTAGAACGGGGTATAATATTTCGAACGCACGAAAGCTCCAGTTTTGTAAGCAGCCACTTGAAATTATTTAATGACAGATTGCTTTTAAAAATACGGTTCAATGCGTTAACAAGCAAACTGTTGTACTCTTGTTACACCCTGTGTTTTAGCGTGCAGGGCGGGCGTATTTTGGCGCGAGCCGCGAGCGCTGACTCCGCCATCTTGGATAAACAGGCGAGAGGAACGAGTCCATAATGTACCCGAGGGAGATGGGGACGGGCCGCAAAAGAAAGGGACGGGGGAGGAGAAGGAAAATCGTTATGGTGAGAGATTTTGCGTCATAATTAACTGCATTGTATCCACATGCACAGGAAACGTACTCCGGATGATTATGAAGAACATTTATTTGATGTATAACTCGAACAAATAAAGAAATATCTTCTTTAAAAAACAGGGCTATTTCAATTTACAAACTTTCTAGAACGGAGTATAAAAAAATTGGCCCATTTCTAGAACGGGGTATCAGTTTTTTTTATTCTAGAACGGGGTATAAAAAATTGGCCCATTTCTAGAACGGGGTATCAATTTTAGGGGATTTTTTTTTACAACGGGGTGCCAATTGGGAGTCCCAGGCGGCACATACCCACCAAAAAATACCCAAGTGCCCCACCCCGCGGGCGTAAACCCCGGTGTTGTGACCAAGCTTCACGCGTCACATCATGGGTTGGGTGGGTACAGTAAGCTCATAAATGGACTGAGAGCGGCTGCCAGTGGCGCCTTTGTATGCTTACGTCCGAACTTATTGTTCACATGTTAAAATATATTGTAGGAGGGCACGTCTGTTGTCCTGTCATACACGGCTCTTCATTCTTTCACTCATTCATGGCCCACCGCGCGATACTAAAGGTATTCAACGTTATTCATGTAACTTAGACCTAGATAATATGGATATCAGGTATATTATCATAGCGACAGATATTCCAATGCGTTCTAAGTTCAGAAGAGTGTATGGAAATACATCGATTTAAAAGAGCAGGAGGGGGGTGGGGGGAGGCGGCTTGGGAGGAAGCGAAAAATTTCTCGTCCCCTTCGCCCTCCAGATCTATAATCCCCGACGCCCGCCCCCTCGGTACATTTGAAAATCAATAAGACGCGGTATATCTAAACGATCTCACGAAAAAATAGGGGACTGTGAACAGTCTAGCGGTAATTTCGTTTGGATTATCAAACCCGAGAGAACCTTAAGCAGAAACTTGAACATAACATACCTTTTGTTTGCTTCCATTGTTGATTGATTTTGGATGGGGCAAAATAAAAACTCTGACCATGGTGACCTTGCCGAAATTAATACGCCAATTTCCGGATATGATAGCCTATCATATCATTGCAGCTTGAAAAATCAACTTTAACATTTCTAATGCAACAACTTTCGCTATGCGTCATCATGGTCTTTCAATATGACCAATATTAGACGACCGCTTACCCCCGATTCCCCCTTCGTAGCTTATGGCTCACACTCAAAGCCTTTATGTACCGTGTATGCGACAGTCAGTTCTTTCATGTTCACCACATCCTTGCGTTCAACATAATAGAGGTTCCCTCTATATCTTTAACCGTGGCTGATGGCCGGACATTTACTTAATTGTTTGCACACTACTAAGTACCGTCACAAAAGGGAAGTCGAACACTTCCAAGGTATAAAACATCCAATACTACATTTCTTGTACCCTGGCGTAAGTCAATAAATGATTTGTAGCACCGTAATATAAATTGAAATTACTGAAAAAAGACTTGTTTCAATCGTATATACTTACCGATTGCAGCCTTAGTCAGGCACCAGACAGGCAGCACGACTTCAAAGAGGTTTCGCTTGAATCACGAAGGGAAAACTATCAAAACGAAAGCAGGAAGTTTGAACATTCCTTGGCGTGGCGTCTGGTTTTATTTTCATTAGGGATTACTTAGTTTATGCAAGAAGCAGCACATATCTGTTCACGCAATTTCATAGGTCATGGCTAGGGGGGTACTCTCGAAATAATTGGAAGGGAGTTGAGGGTCAGGAATCATATATCCAAAAAACCAAAATCCCCTATCATTATTATAATTTATTACCATTATCATTATCATTGTCATTATCATCATTATTATTATTATTTGTAGCCGACACCAGGAGAGTGTCTCCATTGTACTTCCATCTCTATTAATTCCACGCGCCTGCCACGCAGGCCGTATTCGAATTCTTACGTGTGCTCCATTCTCTCGCCGAGAGATATCGGTCTGTAGTTATCAACATTCGCTTTGGAGAAAAATGGGCATTTTTCCAGTCGTCAGGAAATATAGCCTTTGGTTAACTATATCGCTTTTCACATCCAAAATGTATGGGTTGGCCGGTTTAAGAAGCACACTTGAGATTTTCCTAGTCCACAACTTTTGGAGTTATTAAATTTTGCAGCCACACGGTATATGTGTTTTTCAGTCACAGAAATAAAGCGTGAAATGTGTAGATGCCCTTTTTTCTATGTATTGTTCTTGAGGGGTATTTTTAACTGGAATGTTCTTGGCTATTTTTTTATCCATTGAGCAGACTGATATGCTTATTCATTTTATCGGCGATTCCCACCTCTTTTTTGTCACTACCGATACATAATTAGACCCCCAAAAAGCTCACTAATCAGTTTTGTCTTAGTCAAGTTTGACTTTACGTTAATCGTGCGATAGTGGCAAAGGAAAATGCCAAAAAGTGTACTGCACTTTCAGAGGTTTTGTTTTGCTTCTAATATTTGTTGCTATTTTATTTTCTCGCTTTCTTCGAATTCTTCACTGTCGTGTTTGCTTCAGCTCGCTTGTAGCGTTACCACAAAATTCTTCATTTGCGACCAATTCGTTGAAAAACTAACGATTAGATATACCCTGGGTGCCAGAGGCTTTTCATACGCGGTTTCCGGTTACTGTTAAGTCTTCCGCAGACGAAGCTCCTCGTCGCAAGCGAGAAAAAACCTCTGGTGCCCAGGGTAACGATTGGATGGAAAACGCGCAAATATCGAGTATGCAGTTTCAGCCTCTCCCGATTCCTATGGCGTAAATCTCGCTAGTAATCGACTCCTGGTATAGAGTGTTCACATTCATGTAGCCAGCATCTATGCAACTTTATTGGAACGAAAGAAAGGATTTACATAAGAAAAGAGTTCAACTCACACAGGATTGGTTAGGGACACCAACATGGCGATGGTTTCATTGTCCTGGAAAATCAATAATGTTCACTCACAATCGTACTCCATGACATCAAAATGCAATAGTAGAGTCCTTTTGATTCGAGGACCATTACGAGGACGACATTTGACTTAAAGTTTTCTTTGTTTTTGATAATTGTTGTTTTAGCTTTTTTGTTTGTTTTGTTTTTGTCTTTTTGTTTTTTGCTTATTGTAAAACATAAACTAGACAACGCAGAAGCTTCATGTTTTTACCATAAGAGATGGCACGCGTACGGTTATTTTTATAGAAAACAAGTTAAGCCCTCTCCTGATCACTTCTAACATTTGATAACTTACAAGTTCCCGTCACTACGAAACCCGTAAATGACGACGGCTATCGCATTTTCCCGCCAAACCCACCTTAGTTTACGCGTGCACTACTTGAGTTGGTGTTAAGCAAATCTCGTCATCGTAGTCGTTCCCGTCTTAAAATCTAAAGATCTCTATAAATATTCTTGCAGACGGCACAAATGAAACTCAGTAGTAAAAAATCAAGTTTCCACAAGCAAAACTCCATACTCCAGTTATTTCATACTTGAACATTTTGCTAGCCTACGATTACAGCCGTCTCTTTTCGCTCTTCGCCGCTAGGAACGTTTCACTCCGGCTATCTTTTGCCGGCTCGTTTATCTAAACGTGCTAAATCATTATACGAAATGTAGTCACAATTCTTGACTTCTTTTAAACAATTTTCTTGAATGATATGTTTTACTCTTCGACGAACTTTAAACCCTTAAGGTTGATTTCCACTTACGCGTTTTTGGCTACGTACGTTAACGCACGTAAATTTTAATTACGTAAATAAAGTAGAGGCAAGATAAAAAGTGCTGAACTTAAACGAGAAGTTGAGCAAGGTTCAACTTTGACACTTACGAGCGACCTTTCATGCATGGCCTCTATTTTGTTTGCGAACTTAAATCTTACGCACGAACGCACGTAAAAAAATTACGCGACACTGGAAATCAACCCTTCGTGTGCTAGTCTACTTTAGATTTGGTTCAACCTGGGCCTCTCATCTTCTCGGGATCACATAATTTCCTTCTCACAGTGCAAATAAATTCTTGGTACTTTACAAACTACAGTCTATATCACGGTTAACCCGACCAATTTTCCACAGTAAAATTTATCGTACAGTAAAAGGCTACCAAAATACTAATTTACCTAATTACAAAAATGAAAGCTGAATATTTATTATTGACATCTACAAAGTTGACACCCACTTCCTGACTTCTTCTTTCTCTTCTTGGCATCTTAACAAAAACAAAAAGACGTATCATGTAGAAGCCAATACTAGCCAACTTTTATTGCTCTAGTATCTTATAACGCGCTTAGCACCGTCTAAGGGAGTAATGATCAAGCAAGGGGCAAGTGACGTGGCAAATTGCCTTATCCACATTTATACCTGCCATTTTGGACTTGGAGAGTGTGGGGACTGGACCGAGTTCCCGTCCAATCCTTTTCCTGTTTCGCGGGAATTTTTTTGTGTTTTACATCAGGTGTGTTCGAAGTTCTAGAAGGTGATCTGTTTCAGGATGATTTTACGATGGCATTTTATTCCTTTGAACGGGTGAATGACCAGTGCGGTGTCACGTCGTGGGCTGTGCAAGAAACAGGAATGCTTCCTTTGTTGTCTTGCGATATGACTGCATGGTTAAAGCACAAGTATAAGGGTTCAACTGTGTCCGGGGAAGAAGAGGAAGACCTGGCTATGCCAAAGCTACAGGTGATTCAAAAGATCAGTTAGGGATCATACACGCGCAGAAATGGCTCTTATCGCGGTTTACGGGACTCCTTCACTTGAAGAGAGACGATGATATATGATAAACCATAAACAAACAATCTGAGACGACAATATCATAAATTATATATCATCGTCTTTCTTCAAGCAAAAGAGTTCCGTAAACCGCAATAAGAGCCATTTGTGCGCGTGTATGATCCCTAACTGATCTTTTGAATCTCCTGTAGCTTTGGCATCACCAGGTCTTCCTCTTCTTCTCCGGACACACTTGATATACTTGTGCTTTAACCATGCATTCATGCCGCTATCGCAAGACAACAAAGGAAGCATTCCTGTTTCTTGAACAGCCCACGACGTGACACTGCACTGGTCACTTACCCCTCCAAAGGAATATATAAAGTGCAATCGAAAAACAATACTGAAACAGATTCCTTTCTAGAATTTCGTACACACCAGGACCCAGTCGCTCGAAGGCCGACTAGCGCTTAACCTGGAGTTAAATTTAACCCGTGTTTGTTTTTCTTGTGTTTAAAAGCATTTTCTCGGATAATTTTCTCTGGTATTTTTAGAGCTTCCAATCATCAACTTGTAGACAAAAAGAAATTAAAACTGAAATGCTTTTTAAGCTTTCAAATCTGAATTCAAATCTCGCACTAACCCCGGGTTATCTTAACCCTGCTTTGAACAACTCGGCCCTCATAAAAAACACAACAAATTCCCGCGAAAAGGAGAAGGATTGGACGGGAACTCCGTCCAGTCTCCACACTCCAAAATTGCAGGCCAGCTAACTTGATGTAATAATAATTGCATCATCTCAATGCAAGGATTTGTTTGGGTTGTTTTCTTTATAAAAGCAAAACAAGCCTTTTGTTATCCAGCTCTCCTAACTGTGGATGGATGGTTTCATTTTTTCATCTCTAAAGGACTCGGAAAATGACAGTTCACCCCGATACCGCTCACTGAAGCTCGTGTATGTTTGTATAATCTACATATGTATGGTCATACTCCTTTGCTGATGGGTATATTTACAACAACTGTTCAGGCTACTACACGGTCAGACGAAGAATATATGTTAGTGAACCTTTTGATAAGCTAAATTTATCTGGTAAAAATATAAAAAAAATGGGCCCTGCAAAGTATGGAGACTTAGAGTAATGCTTAGAAACATGACGTGAAACCACAGGTGTCCCGCAAGCGTAATATGGGCCGCGTGTGGCGTAATATGAGAGTTTGTATGGGAAAAATAGTTTGAAACTTAGATGAAATAAATGAAGCAAAAGCGATAAAAGTTCTCTATAAAGTGTAAATATTGTTACCTGGAGTCGTTGTCTTCTTTTTACAAAGTTTCAGCTCGATTTGAGTACTTTTACATCATCTGACCTGACATTTATTTCATCTAAGTTTCAAACTCTATTTTTCCCATACAAACTCTCATATGCCACAAGTGGCCCAAATTACGCTTGGGCTACCTGCGGTGAAACTGAATATAAATCAAAGAAAAAGTTAGGCATCTTGTAAAGAGATCGTTATATCTACGTCAGAACATCAGCATTTGTGTTCCCATGGGGGTTGCTAGGTTTTCAAAGAATAAAATCACCTTCGTTTTGCTAAATCGTGTTTTTTCTGCTAATCAGAGGCCCGTTTTACACCAATTTCAAAACAACGACACTGATTTGGCTTTGACAATTAATTTTCACTTACAAAATACAGAATAAGGGCTTCTTGTCAACAATTTGGTTTGTTTATGACCTGAGTTATGCTCAAAATTCCATTTTGCATCGTCTTAGAGGGGCATGAAGTGTTTGTCCCAAAAATTCAATAAACCATAATAAGCCAAATTTTTCTCAAATGATCTTGATAACTGGTTGACTTAAGTAAACAGTGGTGTAGGTATGGAAGTTATGCAAGAAGGCAGGTGAATATAGCGAAATTTTGAAAAATGACTATTTTGGGTTGTAATTTTAACATCAATTTTGACCAAACTCTAGCCCCAGGCTCCTCTCTGTGCAATACCTTGACGGCAAAGTTACATGCATAAACTGAAAGCTCTATTATAGTAGAGCTCATGGTCAAATTCATTTGGCAGTACAATTTACCAGTGGGGGGGTCTTATCACACTTTCAAAATGCCCCCTGGAAGGCTGGATTTTCGATGCTCAAAGGGCTAAAAATGAGACCCCCCCCCCCGTAAATACAAAACTAAAAGTCAGAGAAGTGAGCCAAAGTGGCTTTTGAAATATCTCATCACACCCAACACTTTCTCAGACAATGACACTTAACAATAATTTGTGCTTTACCTTCCTTACTACTGCGTTGTTCATCGTCATCCTCATCATCTTCTTCTTTCTTGGGTTGTGATAAATGCCTTTCAATTGCATGAGTAATCTGCAAGAACTAACAGGTTTTTTTCATTACAAGAAACTTAAAGATACGGAAAGCAGGATTAGAGCGTTAACGGAAACTATTACAGTCAAACCTGGATTAAGGGGTGTTCTACCAACGTCCCAGCTATTGATTCCATAATTAATGTATATAGCGATTTTGAGTTTATCAAATTAAAATTATTAAGAAAGAATATATGAATTTCATAGATTCGAACTGCGGAAGAAAGAATGCAAAGAAGACCCTTGCAGTTTAAGACACAACTTATGCTGCTGTAAAAAAAAAAAAATCAGTCGTTTTAGATTTTAACAAATTTCAAAGACACAGTGCCAACGTGATAACCATTCAAGACTGTGCAAAATCTTTCAAGAAGAAATATAATCTCCATAATATAGTTTTTTGCGTCTGTTAGCAGTCCTTACCTTATTTGTTGTTTTGTTGTGGCCTTGCTTGTCTGCTCTGATGGCCAAGGCACGTTGCTGATACTCCTTGGCTTGCTCGAAGTCACCTAATTTCTGGTAAATCAAAGCTAAGTTATTGTAGTCTCCTGCAACATTAACATGTTTCGGGCCGAGCTTGTCCAGATCGATGTCAAGAGCACGTTGCTGATACTCCTTGGCTTGCTCGAAGTCACCTAATTTCTGGTAAATCAAAGCTAAGTTATTGTAGTCTCCTGCAACATTAACATGTTCCGGGCCGAGCTTGTACAGATCGATGTCAAGAGCACGTTGCTGATACTCCTTGGCTTGCTCGAAGTCACCTAATTTCTGGTAAATCAAAGCTAAGTTATTGTAGTCTCCTGCAACATTAACATGTTTCGGGCCGAGCTTGTACAGATCGATGTCAAGAGCACGTTGCTGATACTCCTTGGCTTGCTCGAAGTCACCTAATTTCTGGTAAATCAAAGCTAAGTTATTGTAGTCTCTTGCAACATTAACATGTTCCGGGCTGAGCTTGTCCAGATCGATGTCAAGAGCACGTTGCTGATACTTCTTGGCTTTCTCGAAGTCGCCTAATTTCTGGTAAATTAAAGCTAAGTTATTATAGCTTCTTGCAACATTAACATGTTCCGGGCCAAGCTTGTCCAGTTTGATGTCAAGAGCACGTCGCTGATACTTCATGGCTTGCTCGATGTCACCTAAATGCTTGTAAATGCATGCTAAGTTTTCGTAGCTTGCTGCAACATCACCATGTTCCGGGCGGAGCGTGTCCAGATGATTGTCCAGAGCACGTTGCTGATACTCCTTGGCTTGCTTCAAGTCACCTAATGTCTTGTAAATTAAAGCTAAATTCGTGTAGCTTGATGCAACATCAACATGTTTCGGACCGAGCTTGTCCAGTCGGATATCAAGAGCACGTTGCTGGTACTCTTTGGCTTGCTCGAAGTCGCCTAATTTCTGGTAAATTTTAGCTAAGTTATGATAGTTTCCTGCAACCGTAACATGTTCCGGGCCTAGCTTGTCCAGTTTGATGTCAAAAGCACGTAGCTCATACTCCTTGGCTCGCTCGAAGTCACCTAAATCAATGCAAATTGAAGATAAACTCGTGTAGCTTGTTGCAACATCAACATGTTTCGGGCCGAGCTCTTGAAGCTTAAAAGTGAGTGAATATTCAAAATATGTTTTTGCTCCTTCGAATTCACAATGCATTTGACAAATATTTCCAAAGTTTTTGAATTTTTCGGAGATGCCCTTATCATGAACTTGAAAGAAATTATTTTGCGAAAACATTTTGTTAATTACCATAATTAAAGCTTTGAAATGTGGAGCGATGTGTCTAGTGTTCAGTCTCATACTCTCTGGAGGAGTCGCGCCGATAAATTCGTTGAACGATGTAATGGCCCCACTAACAACCTCATTGGTTTGGCTTTCTGAACACTCTTTTGTTACAGTTTTAATAACGTCATGCACAACCTGGTGAAGTCGAACAAAACAGCCACCATCGTCATCTTGGAACAGCAGAAGTGAGCTTCTTTTTAATCTCATGCGAATTAGTTCCTTGTCCGCGTCATCAAACTCTTCGTGTGCGTTCATGATGTAACTAACTGCTATGTCGACGTTCAATGGCCTTGGAGCGCAGACGGCAAGAAAAGTGAAAAGGTGTTTTTGAAATTTGTCGGATCTCATTAGTGATTCTACGGCTAACTTTATTGCTTTGGTCATTGAATTTGGGTAAACTGGATTGGTGTCGACAAGTGTATCTTCCGTTTTCTTTCTTTTTCCTTTTTCTAAGATCTTCAGGTAGTCCTCCCACCCAAAATGCGTCGATACTTTGTCCTGCCGAATCTCTTTAACAAAGACGGCAGCGCCTGCTAAAGCAAGAGGTTGATAGTCCAGTCTTTGTGCTACTGTTCCTACTAGCTCGCTATCTGGGATACCGGAAACCGTGGACAATAATGAACAGGCGTCATTGGGCTCCATACCTTTGCTTGCCGAGATGTGGTTAACAAAAGAGTTTTTCTGAGGGAATTGATGTTGTGTCCTGGGTCGTAATCAGCAACTGGCCCCTCGCCCAAGCTTCGTTTTCAAACTGTGGTAAATGGACATGCACTGAAGACAGAGTAGTGACATTGTCAACCACCAGTAGCCACGACGTGTAACAGGTAATTTTTACAGCGACAAGCTTCTTAAGCCTAGTGATCTTTTTGTCCAAGGTCCAGTCCTTTGAGCTGAGGGTTTTCACAATTGAATAGTCTGGGCACTTTAAATGGCGAGCAAATGAGGCATACGACTCCAGAAGTGAATCTAGACTAGCAGCATTTAAGGTCATTACAAATGAAGAGCCACCTGGCATTTCTTTGAGGTCGTCAAAGAATCTCTCAGCTACAAGGCCAGCTAGCTGTGATTTTCCGCTTCCAGGATTCCCTGAGATGTATAGATAACTCAACCTGTTGTCACTGGACTCATTTAGTTCCCTCAGCTGTTGGACTATTTTGGCTACTTCACTTTCACGATCACCGATTTCATGCGAAGGTTTAGGAGGGAGAACACAAAATGAGGGTGCTTCATTTTGAAGCTGATCTTCAAGGATCTGGCGCTGACTCTCTTTTTCTTGAACTTCTTGTTTCAGATTATCAACTTCTTTCAAGACCTTTGTTAAATCTTTTGTTGGAAATGTTTTCTGACATTTTAGGTTTTGAATTTTTACAGTGGGAAGACTAAGCGCTTGAAACGCAACATCAACTTTGCCAATAGCATTCTGAAAATCTATCTCAGAGAGACTCCCTTGTGGCATGTGAGCGAATTCTTCATTCCTGAAATTTCGTAGATCATCTACATTTTTTCTGACTATTGCGCTAAGACTTGGCCCGACACAATCAGAGAAAAGGATGGCGTAAAATAGCATTGTACAATCCCATTTCCCACTGTTTCCGTTTTTCATAGTGGCCAAAAGATGAGCGTTTCTTTTTTGATTTCGAGGAGACTCTCTGTTATAAAAATCCATTCCATTACGAGGCTCGTCTTTCCATTCTCCCGTTGTTGTTTTGTACAGTTTGTCCCACTCTTGTTTAAATATTACTCTCAGACCCTCAGCTAGTATATCGGTGGTTACACAACAAATTCTGTAATAGTTCAGCTGTTCATCGGTATATTCGTTTAAAGAGGTCATATTTGATGCACCTCTGATGCTTGGAACCTTTTAGGAAAATGAATCCTGCGGTTAGCAAATTAGTTCAGAGGAGGAAAAATTATCAGTGACGTAGATAACGCGGTGTATGCAGTAAAAACATTGACTTCTCAACACAAGCATGTCAGGGTATGACCAAAACCCAAATTTGCTAGTATATCAGTAGTTGGGTAACAAATTCTGTAATAGTTTAGCTGTTGCTCGCTGTATTCTTTTGAAGATGCCATACTTGATGTACGTCTGAGGCTTCAATCTTTGGGGAAAGATTTTCTCTGCAATTAGTCACAACATACCCGGCGGTAATACCCTTTGTAAGCTATATATAGGTATGTACTACAAACGGTATGGTTTTCTTAGCCGTTTTGGTCTCATGAAAACGGATCAGCTCATTATAGTCTCAAAACGGGTACCGTTTTCAATGGAACAACAAAAGTGTATAAACTTATTTTTGCCGAAAAACTTATGGATCATTTTAGGTTTCTGGGAAACTGCCCATCTACCACACTCCTAAGCCATCATTTTGCCCTAAGTGAGAAGTAAATGTTAATGTTAGCTTAGGGGAGGGGTAGTTGGGCAGTTTCCCAGAAACCTAAATTGATCCAAACTTATTCAGGGTCAGATACAACTAAATAACGTTTAGAGCCAGCTCTGACAGTGGGCAGGCATTTTAGAGGGAGGCCCTTTTCTCGGAAGTCTCGGTAACCAGTAGGACTAATTTTATGCTTTTTTCATTACACCATCTTTTATTTTTTCACCCTATTTTACCACCACTCCTTTATTTGCAGCCTGCAGAATAGCCGCTATTTTTTTGGCACAAAGCGTGGGTGGAGAGCGAGATCGGCGCGGCTGGTGAAAGCGCTTTCTCGTGCTGCGCGCTCGCCTCGCGCATATCTTCACTCGCCTAAAAAACGTGTTCTGCAGGCCACTTTATATCCAGTTGCCATTTCCAATTCAGTAGGATTTACTTTACACTAGAAATATTTTAACTAAACTAAGGCCGAATACTTGTAGGACATAACTATGCAAAACAGTCCGTCATTCTTCATCTGTAGAGACTCTTGATGAAGATTAAAAAGTTTCGGTGGTAAACGAACGGTCAGAACATAAAGCTTATGGCTTTTGGTTTCTTTTTGAAAAGTTTTACAAAGATCTAAAGAGAGTTAACGTCAAAAAGGTACTTCTAAGTGCGCAATAGTTCTTTTGTACTGACTCTACGTTATTGCCCGCAGGTCGAAGCTTGTTTTTACTTCATTTTGCTTCCAGAGCGTTCCAAAACCAGAGATTACTTCGGCAGCTCGAACAATGGACCGAAACAGTCAAAAATGGTCACAAAAAGGCAATCATTCCTTATCATTCGCTGCGAAAGTCTCCGTTTGACGTTCTTTTGAACAGTTTCATAGTTTGAATAACCGTCATGAACTCCCCTTCCCGCATCATTCAATTCCACCATGTAACTTATACAAATGAAAGGTTTTTTTGACCTCGTGTAGAAACACGGCTGCTTATTGCATTATTTTTCTTACCGTTTGGAACTCCTGACTGAGGCAGCAAATATCGAAGATACGAAGTCTTTATAAGGAATCATTGAGCTTCCGCTGGAGTGACGAAGGGAAACTGGCTATCAAAACGAAAGCGGAGTGTTCTAAGGCGTGACGACTATTTTTATTTTCATCATTTTTCCTTTCAACTATGCATTACTGACCAAGCGTGAGGTCAGTATAACTGGATATATGGCCAAATTCCTTTTTTGCATTTTGTTAAACTTTCTAGAAGTCCTTCATTTTTTCCTGTTTGGTTATGCCACGAGACTTCGTCGCTCGCTGCGCGACCTCATGCATTGAAGCTCGTCTTCGCTCACTTTTAAGAACGTATGAGAGGTAGCAAGTCTAGCATTTTGTTTACCGAGACGTTATCGAGGCCAATGAGAAAAGAACGACGCCGCCAATATCCAGCTATCTTGACCGAAGAAGCTTAGTCAATAAAAGGGGTGGCGAATGGTAAAATCCGAGACTCGCCGAGACGCCGAGATCCTAGTTAGAAATCCGTGCCCGAGACTCTTTGGTATAAAGTTTCGAGACTCAAAAAAAGTAAAAACAAACCGTGCAAAAACGAGACTTCGAGACTTATCAAAAACCCTTCCGAGATTTCGAGATCCTGCCAAAATTTTCCGAGACCCACGTTTTTCGAGGTACCATTCGCCACCCCTAATAAATGATTTATTTTATGGCCAAATTATCGTGGTTTTGATTCACAACGGTTTTTCTTGCCGTTATTTAGTGTTTTACGAGTAGGCAGGCTACCAAGACACTGATTTATATCATTTTCTCGCTTACCCTTCCCAGCATCCTTTGCGTGAACGCTAAACATTCCCATGGTCCATTGCGCGATGCTATCGCTTGCAGTCGCATTTTCTGTTCTCCAAACGCACTTGAGATGAGATGCTTAGGAACGAGGCAGTTTATCTAATTATATAGAGTACTTACATCTTGAAAACTAACAGAAATCTACTAAGCATGAGGTGAGGTGTGTTAGATTCAAACATTTGCCCTTATCAAAACTTACACAACAATCAAATAAAAAGTTGGTATTTTTCTCCACATGCTTTACACCAGGCCAAATCCAAATGGCCAAATAATCGCTTTTCTGTATTTGATAATAACATAACTAGCTTGAATCAGAACCTGGAAAATTTACAAACACATATTTTAGAAGAAATTGATTTTCACTTTGATGTTATAAGAATCTCTGAGACGAAAATTAGGGGGACGTAGGGGACGTAGAACCCGGTACTGCGGTCAGCCTTCACACATCACATCATGGGTTGGGTGCCGGGTACAGTAAGCTCATAAATGGACTGAGAGCGGCTGCCAGCGGCGCCTTTGTATGCTTCCGTCCGAACTTACTGTTCACATGTTAAAATGTATTGTAAGAGGGCACGTCTATTGTTCTCTCATACACGACTCTTCATTCATTCATTCATTCATTCATTCATTCATGGTCCACCGCGCGATACTATCGCCTTCAGTCGCGTTCTCAGTTCTCCAAACACACTTGAGACGCCTAAGAACGAAGGAGTGTATCTATTTTTATCGAGTACTGACAGCTTTAAGACAAAAAGAAATCTACTAAGCATATCTTCGCTCGCCTAAAAAACGTGAAAAAATGACGCCTATTATGCAGGCTACTTTATATCCAGTTTCCCTTTCCAATTCAATAGGATTTACTTTACACTAGACATATTTTAACTAAACTAAGACCGAATACTTGTAGGACATGACTGTGCAAAACGGGCTGTCATGCTTAGCTATGCTTCATCTGTAGAGACTCTCGATGAAGATTATAAAGTTTCGATGATAAACGAACAATCAGAACATAAAGCTTATGGCTTTTGAGTTCTTTTTTAAAAGTTTAACAAAGATCTAAAGAGAGTTAACGTCAAAAAGTTACTTCTAAGTGCGCAATAGTTCTTTTGTACTGGCTCTACGTTATTGCCGCAGGTCGAAGCTTGTTTTCACTTCATTTTGCTTCCAGACCGGTTCAAAAGGCAACTCGAATAATAGACCGAAACAGTCAAAAAATGGTCAAAAAAAAGGGTATCATTCATTACCATTTGCTGCGAAAGTCTCCGTTCGACGTTCTTTAATATTTGAACAGTCTCACAATTTGAATAAGCGACAAGGAAGCTCTCCGCATCATTCAATTCTACCATGTAACTGAACATGCCATTTTTATACAAAGTAAAGGCTTTTTGACCGCGTGTAGAAACACAACTGCTTATTGCATTTTCTTACCGTTCGGAACTCCTGACTCAGGCAGCAAATTTCGAAGAAACCAAGTCCTTATCACTGAGCTTCCGCTGGAATGACGAAAGGAAACAGGCTGTCAGAACGAAAGAGGAATATTTGAAGGCGTGACGACTACTTTTATTTCCATTATTATTCCATTCAAATATGCATTACTGACCAAGTGTAAGGTGGTCAATATGAATGGATATATGGCCAAATCCCTGCTGCCCGACCTCATGCATTGATGCTCGCTTCGCTCACTTTTAAGAACTTATCAGAAGTCGACTTGTAGCAAGTCTAGCATTAGGGAGTTTAAGATACGGAGACTACGGACTACGAACTACGGCTGGACGAGCGTTGTCCGTTGTTTGTAGCACTGGGTTGAGTCGTGCCAATATAGAACGTTAAGATTGCACTTCAGACAGGAGAGTACGAGAGAAGAGGCGCAGGGGGAAACAATACTCAAAGAATTTGTTGTTTTCACCACAGTTCACAAAAATGCAAGTCAGTTTCGCATGTGAACTTATCTTTAGAACAATGAACAAATTCTTCCATACTTAACGGAAGCAATTACGTGGGGTGAAATTGGTAAACAAAGTTTTGGTTACACAGGTTTTATCCTTTTCGCCCATGAATACTTCTGTTAAATATTAAATAAATAGGCAGAAATAGTAAGAGCTCATTTATTAGATTTAGAAGATGGACTTCTCCGAGTACTGATCTGATGTAGTTTAAAGTATTGAAATGCCGAGTTTCGATTGTCTCGAAGACGTTTACATCATTTTCATTCAGCAAATACACAAGTAGAAACAGGGGCGGATCTAGGGGGAGGGTGCAGGGGTGCGCCCCCCCTGAGATGACCTGCGGTTTTCTGATACAACTGGTACTCTGCCAAAAAAAAAACTACGTGGTTTATTGGTGTTGAAGTAGAGCAAGAGACGAGTGCACCCCCTCCTAAAAAAAATCCTGGATCCGCCCGTGAGAAAGACACACTAATCAGTTCGAACAAACATTGAAACTTTTCAAGTGCGAAGAGAAAGTAAATTACCTACATGATTTCTCTTCTCCTCGGCCGTCAATCTGAATTCTGCGTATAAACAGCTAAGCTTATTTAAATATGAGCTTAGCTATATAAAAATGTAGTCACAACAGTGGATTAAAAGCGTAAATCTGAGCAGAAATTAGACACAACTTACA